ATGTTTACTGAGAGGATGATGTTTTGCCCTGAGTTCGCTTCGGAGCAGGCTCAGATGTCCCGATATCTGAGTATGCTAAAGAGAGATATCAGACAGTTTGTGTCCGCGTAGAGGTGCGAGACTTTGTTGGAGTTGCAGGAGGCCGCCAGGCGGTGTGAGCTAGAGATTGAGTTGCACTTGCGTGAGCTGAGGCAAGCTCCGGTGCAGTCGCAGCCGGCGACGAAATGGTCTAAGACCGTTGATTCCAGGATGGAAGATCAGGGCAGCCACATTTGTGGGAAGTGTGGGAGGGGTCACACCGAAGTTTGTCGGTCCGGTGGTGCATGCCGCAAGTGCGGAAAAGGAGGGGCACTATGCGAGGGATTATCGGCAGTCAGTGCCGATTCGGGATTTGAGAATTTGTTATCATTGTCACCAGGTTGGGCACTTGAGGGTTAACTGTCTAGAGCTTGTTGCAGGACCGGTGTTGGCTCCAGCACCGGCCACTTTGAGGATCACAGGTGGAGGTCAGGTTGGAGCGGAGCCCCCAAGGGCTCAGGGTCGTGCTTTTCAGCTTTCAGCAGAGGAGGTCAGAGCAGTGCCGGATGCAGCTGCAGGTATGTTCCTTTCTTGTTATCTTGTTATCTTGTGATTATTGTGGAGTATTATTATCTGCTAGTCTCGTGTTGTGGTTTTTTGTTCTGGTATCCGTTGTTCCTTAAGGGTTTGGTATGGTTATGGGTTTTCGTTGGTTATCATTTGTGAGGGTTATTAGTGGGAATCAGTCCATGTGTAAGTGTTGGGTTTTATGCAAGGTTGTTTTGAGAGGTTGGTGATAGCGAACGGTGGTTGATAGTTAGTGCCCTAAGTGGGGGAGAATTGGAAATTCTCCGGATGGTCGATAGGCTTGAGAGATTGTTTAGCTGCTTGGGATTCAACGGTATTTCTGTCGGCCGAGAGCAGGCTGGTATGGGTGAGTAGTAGGTGTGCGGGGCGGGATACAGACCTATGGCATTGATTGTGGAAGACCTGGGATCAGGCTGGGATCGAGTATGTCTAATGGAGATAGAGTTCGGAAACACTAAAGGGCTAGAACAGTATGCATGGGAGGATTTCCCGGAGAGATAACTCGGAATGATGGAAGCTAGTCGAGCGGTCCGGATAGACTGAAGGCTGGTAGGCGTACCAGTCAGGCCGAAGGCTCGGGGGACGGTCCAGCCAGACTGAAGGCCCTGAAGGGCGGTCCAGATTGGCTGAAGGTTTTGAGAGTGGTCCAGATTGGTTGAAGACCTGGTAAGGTGGTCCAGTCATAGTGAAGACTCTACAGGTATTATTGGATCGGTTCGAGGAAATGGCTTGGGTATGTTGTGTTGTGATAACATTAGAAGGTCTGACCCCGGGTATTGATTGTGATTAATGGAGATGGTGCATGGACTCGAGAGTCCTTGCGAGCAGGTTCAGGTTATGTGTGTTGCGTGGATAGCGGTTATGCTATAAGGGAATGTAAACTCATGGAAGTGGAAGTAACAGCACAGGCTTATGATGGGAGTGGTCCAATTATGGTCATTGAGCAGCGAGATTACGACAGTGGTATGGGATCACATCCGGGTTGGATGGTTGCTGAGGCTCGGCAGGAATGCATGGATGGTATTTCGGAATTCCAGATAGATTTGTTTATGTGGTGAAAATTCATCCGGAATGATGTTTGGAAGTGTCATCAGTGTATCGGGGTTTTCCTAACCCGAGGACACAAGAACCAGTTCGGTGCGGTTATGAGCTTGCGGTGGAGAACTCGTGGGAGTTGCTCTAGGGCTGAAGCTTGTGTCATCCTGTCAGCAAGAAAGATAAAGTTGGGTTTCGGATTTCGATGGTTGAGTGTTGTTTAGCCTGGCTCGGTGAATGCCAGGCGGTGCATTGCAGGGATAGTTTCGGAGTAGAGTTGTCGCAGGCTTCGAGGATGAAGCCTAATTTAAGTGGGGGAGAATTGTAACACACCGTTCTTTAAGTGATTAATTATGAGTCCCTGAGATTTAAGAGGAAGGGTAATTCTGGTCCTTTTACGAGAAATAAGTTTCATCCGAGAAGGTTTCGGGCTGATGTATGTGTTAGAAGCATTGGGCTTCTCGTCACTCTCGTATGAATGATAAGTTATTTGGGAGCGGGTTTAAATTAGAGGAGTTGCGGTGTTTTGAAGTTAATCATTGTTATAGCTCTTTGTGGAATAAGAGGGAAATGGTCCCATGCATGCATGCAATTATTTTTGAAGTCTGGCTGGGTACGCCCAGCGTAAAGGGGCGAGAAGTTTGTGGGTGGCCGAGTGAGTACACCCAGCGTACCAAGGTGGTACGCCCAGCGTACTCTCAGAAACTCAAAACCCTAATTTAGGGTCAGCCACTATATAAGGAACATGATGGTTCACCCCTTAGCCTCCTTATGCTCATCCTTAACCTCAGAAAACCCTAGAACTCGTATTCCCTCCATTATTGGGTGTGTTTGATCTTGGAAAGCTTATTTTGGCAAAAGAATGGCTTGAAGGAGAAAAGAGAAGTTGTCAAGGAAGAAGAGGAACGATTGGAGCTTGCAGATCTGAAGAGATACCATCCTTTAGAGCTTGTTTGAGGTATAAAGCTTCTTGCTTGACATTCATATTGTGTAGATCTATGTATTTTGAAGCTTTCACACCATTCTTATCCCAAACTCCTCACCTTGTTGCATGTATCGAATTGGTCAAGATCACCTATCCTTTCAGACCTTTGGAGAGGTCTTGAGTGAGAAAAATGAGGTCCCAAGGGCTGTAGTTGTTCCATGTGTGAGATATATAGGTCTTAATGAATTAAGACCTTGGATTAAGACCTTGGATTAAGAATTATGGACGTCCCAAGTGATAAAGTTTGAGACTTTGTGGATTCTAATTATATTTGGCCTAGGGATCTGAAGTTTCGGCTTAAGAGCTTAAGCCATTAAGAGATTAGAAGGACTTAATGAATCTCGCAGTTACGCCCCGCATAGCGGACTAGTGCCCCGTTTTCTTTTGTGAACATTGCAGTACACCCAACGTACCAAGGAGGGTACGCCCAACGTACTCCTCCTGTTGGACTTTCATTTTGGGCTTTTGAGTTTGGGCCATTGGTGGGCAGTTGGTTATTGGGCCAAGTCTAGGAATTTATGGATAGATTATTTTGGGCCCAATTACTGTTATGGACATTGGTTCTAGGCCCATTTGGTGAAGTGGGCCCAATTTGGTAAATTGGGCCAATGTTGGACTTTGTATGAGATTTGGACTTTGGTCTTGGCCCGATAAGTGGAAGTATGATTGACCTAATGTTTATTTTGTTATGATGGTTTGTTCGGGATTTTCCATAAGTTGGTGATTCGAGAGTCTGCTTCTTCAGTTCAGAGTATCGGCATTCGCGAGGTGAGTTATCCTCACTATATCGACAGGGTCTAAGGCACCAAGGCCGGCCCTTTATTGGATTGAGATTCAGATATTGTTGTTATGTTATTGCTTTGATATGTATGCATCGTGGTAGCTAGGATGGTATATGCTAGAGAACTGGTTATGGTCGGTTTCCCGATATGTAGAGTGAAGCTATGCTAGTGACCGGTTAGGTCGGTATCCTGGTTAGGGTAATGATATGTTATGTGATCTGGTTGATCGGTTTGTTGACTATGAACTGTTATATGATTGTATGTTATGTGCACATGGTTGTTTTGGACTGGAGTTGGGTTGAGGCGGGTCCTGCTTTGTGCTGTAGGCCAAGATACCCAGGGCGGACCGGTTGTTCCGAAGGCCCAGCGAGCGGTCCGGATAGGCTGTAGTCCCCACGAGGGCGGACCAGACGTGCCGAGGCTCGGAGAGTGGACCAGGCCGACTGAAGGCCCGATGCGGGCAGACCAGTCATACTGTAGACTCAGAGAGTGGACCAGGTGGGTTGAAGGCCCGGTGCGGGCGGACCAACCACACTGCAGACTCGAAGGACACGACTAGACACGGAGGGTGGACTGAAGGCCGATACGGCGGACTAATCACACAGTAGACCCGATATGCATGGCTGTTCTATTTTCTGTTATGTTATGTATGCTATTTGTGTGATGGACCGCAAGGCACTGTGTTATAAGCTGGAAGGCAATATGTTTTGGACCGGAAGGTCGTGGCCTGGAAGGGCGTATGTGTGGTTGGTATTTTGGGGGTATCTCACTAAGCTTTCGGGCTTACATTTGTGGTTTAGATGTTTTTTAGGTTCTTCAGGAGACCGTGGCAAGGCAAAGGCGTGATCGTAACGCTCCTCGTGTTTATGTTTATGTCATGGTTCTGGGAATACTCTGATAATAAATGTATTGAAAACCTTTTTGTAATAGCATTATTAAAAATGGGTTGTTTTTGAAAAGTTTAAATTGTGTTGAAATTTTTGGTCGTTACATTATATTAAGCAGCAAGTTTTGCATTCAAAAGTCAAAAAGTACCAGGGACACACCTCGGAGTTCTGAACATATATATACGCATGGACTTTGGAATTGCACCAGGCAACTCTTTTTATAAAACCTATCAGAAATAAATGCATTATAAGATTCATTAATTTGATCAAGATATTATTACATAAAACCTATAAATAAAAGCATCTATGTAGTATTTGATTATAAATAGATGAAACAAAAGAGAACTCAAGCAAATGTTTAACTAATTGCATATTGTATATTGTACCTCCAGAGCAAGCTATGCAGACTCCATCACATGAACATAAACATACTCTGTCTTGCCTATCAAATAAGCAAAAAAAATTTAAAAACACACAATCTTTTTATACAATAAAATAAGTTTTATGAAAGTCCAAGTGATGATTATATAAATATATACCTTCAGTTTTTTTATATTACGAGTCCTCTGGTATAGAACTTCTACGACAAAACCCTTCTACTGCTCGAAAAACCATCAGTCGGTATAAGTTAAATACAAAAGTGAAAAGACAAAACTACCCTTCTTCAAGTTAAAAATAAACAAGAATGATTATAAAACAAATAGATTATAAAACAATAAGATCTTTGAGCTGAAACAAATAGATTATAAAACAATAATTTGAAATGAATAACAACAAGTAAAAAAACCATAATCAACTTCAGATACTTGAAATGAATAACAACAAGTAAAAAAACCATAATCAACTTCAGATACTTGTATTCAATGAGCATGAAATGAGAAAATTTTGTATGTAGAAAAGAACATACTTGCTGCCCAGCAGTAGCAACATCATTTGGTGGTAACTCTTCTGTTCCAATCTCAAGAAGAAACAATCTTGGTTCATCAGAAACGTATAACACATAATAACAATATGGTTAAATTACTTAAACCAAAGTCAAAGGGAAAAAAAGTAATTGTCACACACATTTTTGGTTTTTGATTCTACAACCTCATTGGAAACAAGGTTTGAATGAATGATATGAAGAAGGTAAAGTGACCATTTTGCCCTTCTTGCTAGAAAAAAAAACCTATAACCAGGCTCGTTTGGTGCTCTGCATGACATCTTGCCTTGTTGATTCAAATAAAAGTAAAAAAAAAGACATTTCATATTACAAGAAACACTTGAAGACTATAATAGTCAAGAATTTGACTTTTAAAAGAGTTGTTGTTACCCAATTTTGTCTGATCCACCTTGTGAAGGTTGAATCAAAGCTTCACCAACAAGGGATAAACCCAAATCAGCAAACCCATGGTTCTCATGATAGCATAAAAATTGAATCTTTTTTAGGGTCCATTCTGCAGAAATGAAGACAAGAAAGTTGCAAAGAGGCCATCCAGGGTTGTTTGGAAGATGACTAGGGTCATAGAAACCAAAGAGCATCTGTCACCAAAAATAAAGAGCCTTTTAGAAGAAGACGAGGAGGGTATTTACGTCTTTTATAAAGATAGATGTGTGTTCACCTTATGGCCTTTATGCTGACAAGCTTCCTAAATGTAGAAAACATAGAATGATAGAATATACAGATTAGCTTCCTAAAGATAGATATATGTTCACCTTATCGCATTATTTTGGCATCTGGTGGCATTTCTAACTTCTCCACCAGTTCCTAAATGTAGAAAACATAGAATACATGGAATAAAACAAGTCATCATGAAAACTTTATAAGCATGTTTTATAAAAACATCACATAGAACAAAGTAAAGACACTGATTGAATATTTGACTTGTACTAGGAGAGAACAATTTTGACCATATAAAATGTTGAGTAACCATGTTTGAAATTGAAACACAAAGAAAATCATAAGTAAGGAGACTTATATATAATGTTACACTCACATATCCTAAGAACATGCTAGACCCACAAATTAAGGTTAACTAAATAATTTTGGAGAGATGGTGGCCTCTCAATGGCATACTGATTCTGTACTTTGTCTGTATTTTCATTAATTCGATAGTATACGAATTTGATAGGAGCCAATTGATATTTTACAACAAACAGACAATGAGAAACAACACACAAAATCCACCTGCTTTAGAGAGACGGTCTTCACTCCCAACATAGAGGTGTACCCAATTATGGTAATAACATAGTTGCTACTTAGCGCTAAGGGTTATAAATACCATTTGCAATATAACATATTAATTATGGAAAAACTAAACTTAACATACTTACCTAATTAACAACCTTTTAAATGTATGACTAATGACAGTATGCCACAAACCCTTTTGAAGGACTAACAACTTGGCTCTAATATTAGGCACATAGGGGCATTTTCGTCCGCAAAAACGGTCTCATAAGTTTTTAGGAAAAAGAGTGAACCTCACCCAAAATTGAATCATTTTCTTCAATTTCAATCAATGTTTCCAACATAAAATTATGAAGATTGAATAATAACAACACAAAGTGTATTCAGATACAATGTAATGAAGCTTGGACTATGGAATTATGAACCCTAACAAAATAAGCAACAAAATAGAGAAGTTATGAACCCTACCAACAAAAAGAAATGAAGTATGAAGCTTGAACTTTAAACTGCAAAATGTAATCAACAACAATGGATTCTCTCCAGCCGAGAGAATAGGAGCAGGTGATGAGAGACGAATATAGGGGATTATTTTGATGACTTGACAATTAAGAAAAACAAAGGAGCAATCATGGTTTTAATTGGGAAAATCGCAAGAAGATGATGAAATATGGAGTATAAGAATGTCACCTTGAAATTCTGAGGGTTTTTTTAGAGATGACAGTTAAAGGAGGTGGTGGTGAGCAACAACATATATGGAAGTGGTGGTGAGCAACGACTGAGATTCGCCAGACCATGAATATTTATAAAAAATAAAAAATTAAAGATTCTTCTTTCAAGCATATAGGCTAAAACACTACTAGAAAAATAGTAACTAAAAATGATATTATTAAGTGGGACAACAAATTTGTTTTAGTAACAAGAAATGATATTAAAAAGGGTTTTGATAGGAAAAGAGTACAGGATTGTAAATAAGGGATAAAGAAAATGAAAAATGCATTGCCAAATGAGACATTTCCAAAAGACATGAAACAAGATGATAAAAAAACCTTACTTTTTGGGTTCCAAAGATCGTTTAGGAAACCACTGGATAGTGGGGTAACCAGAGACACCTAATTTGCTGCAAACTCCCTTATATGCATCACAATCCATCTGTCAAGTCAGATAAAGTAAAGATTTGAGCTATTATGAAAACTTATCTTACAAACATATTCAAGAATCACGAACATTTACCTTTCCGATCAAAACATATTTTGATTTTTTGAAGCTTGCACCGAGTTTTTCATATTCAGGAGCAACCTTTTTACAGTGCCCACATCTGTCAAATAAGAAGAGTTAAAATTCACTGCTATGTTCACATATCATGATATGAAAAGCATAGCAAACATTTCAAGGAAGAAAACTGAAAGGCAATTTACAAACAACTCGTGTCTACACATAAGTCATAAGTAAGTTTCACAATGGTGTTTAAGATTAGTAGGAGTTTCTAACGCAGATAAAAAACAATCAACAAATCAATGAGGATCCATGTCACTTTGAAAACCCCACTGAGATAACTCGAACATAAGCAACCATGATTTAGCTTTATGGAAAAAAATTATAAAGACCAATATGAACACAGTTAAGGTTAATGGTGAGCCAACTTTAGCTAATGAGATTTGGTAGCATACAGCCCAAACCATGTTTAATATGAAACATCTAAGTTAGCAAAACTTGCAATTAGATAAACAAAAAAAGAGAGAATAATGATAACTAAATTATAGGCATAAGCATCACAAGAACATAGAAAGGGACTAATGTTACTTCTTGCTTTCAGACACAATAATATAATATCAACTTCATTTGAACTTTTAGAAACACAATTTTGATATTGGCTGACAAGTTCTATTTAGCTTATGGTGGTTCCATTTTCTTGTTCAAAATCAAACAGTCAACACAGATGGTCCACCGCCCTAGCAAGCAACAACACTTCACCTCAACCTTTACTCAGATCTAGATCAACTACATTGAAAACTCAAAAGAAGTAAAATATCAAGATCACTCTTATCAGTTGATGAGAAACTAGATGCAAACCAAAGACCCCTTCTTCAAATACACCACTAGAAAATGAATCGTAAAGCTGATTTAGCACAAACAAAATCAGTAAAACAAAGCCGATCGCTGGTCCTATGCCGAATTTCAACAAAAAGAGAATCCTAATTAATCCAAATAATCAGATCGAGAGAAAGCGATTGGGAAGATGTAAGTACATAATTGGCACACCCATGTGTAATAATCAATTATAAATAAAATAAAGGCTTACAACTCCTGTAAAAGGTTGAGATTAGAAAATGAACGTGGTATTGAACCATCAAAAGTATTCCCCTCAAACCTCCTATAGGAACATCAAACATAAATTATATGTAAAAATTTCATAGTGAAAGCATGTAAATAATCTAAATGCTTGCTTACAAGGGTACAAATGACCTAATTTTTTAAAAGAACTCTAGAACTGATACGTACAATGTAATAAACAAAGCACCGTTGAAGGCCCTCCATCATCTTCCACTACCTTTACTTCCTCCAGTGACAATTTTGAACATAACCTAAAGATTCCTGAAAAAACAGAAGAATTAAAACCCTAAATCATACAATCGAAGTTTAGGGTTTACAAAATTCGTCGGATGTAAATCACCCAAAAAAAACTATAAAATAACATGCAATTTAAGAAGCAATTAGCGTTAATTTTGAATTGGGGAAATAAACCTTAGTTCTTTTTTCTTCTCCATGGAAAAGCACACAAACGGAAGGATGTGTATGATGTTTTCCTTCGAGATCTTCGCCTTTATGGATTATAACAACAAGCAAGTTGCCACCCTCCGGAGTTCCCACTGGAGCTTTCTGCATCGCACTAACTTCTTCAACGCCAGTCAGCATCTGGTCTTCTCCGAAGGGTTTGTACATGAATTCAACCACGATTTGACCTTATGATTTATCATATGTGAATCATTGAGATCCATGTTCTTGAGTAGATTGTGAGTCAAGGTTTTTGGTTCTCCGGGAGTTAGATCTTTCAAAGGTACACGATTCATCCCCATTTTATCATGCTTCCCTACCGATTCCAAATCGAAAACCTTGATTTCTAGAGATTGAACTTCAGGAGGGGGAAGGAAGGAAGCATCGTAACTAGGGCAAGAGGGAAACAAAAATGTAGGATAAAAAGAAGGCGGGTTTTTAATTTTTTGGGGGATTTCATTTTCCCCACTATCTACTAAAACCTTGACCTAGCACATGCTAGAGAGAAGGAGGTGGCGATGGCTTAGGGTTTACAGAGAGACGGGAGGCAGAGAATGAAGGGAGATCTAGAAGAGAGAGTATGAAGGGAGATCTAGAGGAGAGAGTATCAGAGAGGGGAGAGTGGATTGCAAGGATGAAAGATAGATAGAAGATAGAAAAAACAAGGTGGGTTTTCAAAATTTTGGGATTTCGTTTCCCCCTGTCTACTAAAAGCACGTTTCATTAAAATTATAAAGCGACAGGAACAGACGACGCGTGTTTAAGATAAAGTGCCCTCCGTGTTTTTAATTTTTTTTCTTGAGACACTAAATTAAGGGCACACAGTAATGCGTGACGTGAATCCTAAATTTTTTTGGAGAGATAACACTATATTAAGGGCACGTCCTTTTGCGTATCATTAATCAACGCGTGTCGTAAAAAGCACGTCATTAAAGGTCTATTTTCTAGTAGTGGGAGTTTCAAATGAATATGGTTCAAGATAGATGACTTATCTTCAGCCACATTTATTTGAATGACATTCTATATATGAAATAAATAGATATTATAGTTGTTAAAGCGATTGAGACAATGAGTATAATAAATGACCAAACATTTATTACACTTAGGCAATGTTCTAAAAAGCTCATTATGTCTTCGTCATGATGTTATATGGTTTCAAAGCTTGTAATTGACATCATGCTTTAAAAAAATGTTGCCTTAAGTCACACACATACATACACACACACACACACATATATATATATATGTGTGTGTGTGTGTGTGTATGTATATATATGTGTGTGTATGTGTGTGTGTGTGTGTATATATATATATATATATATTATTGCCCGATTAAGTCACGCCTTAAAAATGACGTATCTCGTCAAGGCTTGAAATTATTGTCAATTCATATCTAACATTATTTAGAACCTTGGACTTAGGGTATAGTTGATTTTGCCGATCATATTAGTATTTGTTTTAAACAATTTAAACAAGGTGAATTATAAATATGTAAAAAAAGTTTGCTAACTAAATATATAAATATCTAAAGTTATAAATTACTAGTTACCATTACAAGTCATTAACCTTTTTTAATTCCATCTAAGTTCATAACTATTTCTGGTATGTACTTGACCCGGTTTGGCATGGTCCATTTGGGTTGCATGGCATCATGCATTTGGATAGACAAAAATGAGAGAAATAACACTTAAGATTTATTAATATATTATAAGTTCTGATATATTGATAATATTATTTAATTAGTATTGATCAAGAATTAATTTAGAATTAATTAAGTGATCAAAAGGAGACTAATTAAATATATGGGTTGATTGTGTAAATCATCCACACTTATATAGTGGGCTAATGCTTCATGGATTATCAAGTTGGACTAAAACCCATAGGATGCTCCATGGTGTTTATAGAACCAATGGGCCATGGAAATGAAAGGTCATGACAATTAGGGTTTACATGGTGTAACCCTAATTGTAACACACTTTATAAGTAACACATTGTTCACCAAAATCGGCCACTAGACATACAAGTGAGGGCTAGCCGATTTCTAAGTGTTCCATTTCTCTCTAAGTTATTCCAAGTGCATTTGGTGTTGTGTGAGACATTTGAGGCATCACACTTGAGGTGCTAGGCTCACAAGGTGTTCAAGGAATCCTAACTACTACAAGGTAATTTTTTAAAGTTCCTCATGTATGTTAGATAGGTTATAAACCTTGGAATTTTTTTTTGCATGCATCATAGATAAAACATAGATCCAAGGTTTCTAGGATTGCATGTACACCTTGGAAAAACAATTCCACACGATGTCACAACTGTAAATTTTGAGCCATGTAATCTATGCATTCAACCTAATGTGAATCAAAAACTTCAATCAAATGCAAGATACAAGTACTATAAGTAGTCATCAAACAATTGGAGACCCTAGAAGTTCTTGTTAAGTCCACTTTGGACTAGGACTTCCTTATTGGATCCAAATGGACCAATAAGCTTCCAATTGGACTATCATGGGTTTAGGACCCTAATTGGGCTCTAATTAGACCCACATTCGTTTATTTCAATATTTTGGGCTAGGTAGAACCTAGAATGAAATAAAACACAAGTTTTGATCCATAATTTAACCTAACCTAGCTTAACAAAGCATAAAAACCACAATTTTATTTTATAAGGCCAATAAATACCCTAAACTACCTCTAATGTTGGGCTTAGGGGCAAAAAGCCCAATTTTTCCTTCTTCCCTTCAAATTCTCGGCCCAAGCCCAAGGAAAAGGGAGAGTTGACCTTGGGTTGCCACCTCACCTTTACATGTTGGACTTCCATGCATATAACTCATGTTTCCAAGCAAACATCATGTCAAAGATCACTTCTTTTCTCTCTTCTCTTCTTGTTCGGCCGAGAGCAACACCACACACACCAAAAATATCTTCATTTCTCTCTAGATTCACTCAAGAACTCTCCTTCCTCCCCTCTCCAAAAATCTCGAAAATTAGGGACTTTCCAAGAGGATTTTGCAAGTAAATCATCATCTAAGGTAAGATTATGCATAGATCTATGGTTTAAATTCTTTTGTTATCAAAATCCTTTCCTAATCTATGCTAAAATCGTGATCTTGCACCCTAGAACCATCTCAAAACTCGAGATCTTCATCAAAGGGAGCCAAGACCAAAAACACTTCATTTTTCCTTCCATTTTCCTTGCAAAAACCGAACCAACACCCCAAGGTGAGCTTCATACCCCTATTTTCTGTTTTTATGAGTTTTGTGGGGGGGGGGGAATACAAGTGAAAGTGTAGATCTATATGTGTTTGTATGCCTTGTATGATTTCCATGCTTATATGTATGCTTTTATGTGTTTTTATGTTGGATCTAGCCTCAAAACTCATCAAAACCGAGATATAACTTGTGCTACATGATTTTTACTTCAAATATATTTCTAAACACAAAGTGCTTCAAGAAAAATGGCTAAGTAGTTTAGTAATAATTTCTTTGGGTTAAAAACACAAATTTTGGGCCTAAAATGTGAAAAATGCAAAAATAAGGGCCCAAATCGTCATTTCACAGATTCTGATGGATGAAGTGTGCCAAAACAGTTTTCATAAGTAAATTTCTGGAAATATACTCATTTAGGGGACTAAAATCATAAATTTTAAGCTTAATGGGCTAAAAATGTAACTTTCGGCCCAATAAGGCCCATTATGCGAATTTTTCTGTTTTGGAGGGCCAAAACTGTAACTTTCTGTAAAACAGTGGACTATAAGTGTTCCAACCCCTTTTCAAAGGTTAAAAATGCTTTTTAAATTTAAAAAGGACCAAAGTTGCAAAAATTTTCCAAATTGGGCCAAAATTGTAAAAGTTGCGAAAAGAAGGGGTTAAAACCGTGAAAACTGCATTTTTAAGAACTTAAACTGTTTTTATGAAAAACATGTTGAAAAATATTAATTTCAATAATTTTTGGTGTTAAAATGTCAAGAAAAATAGTTTAAGGACTAAACCGGGAAGTATTTAATATAAAGGGTTAAAAATGTAAATTTTACAAATGATGAGGGGCTGAAAACAGGAATATTTCAAGGCTAGTTCAATATACACAATTTGATCGAATGATGGCACCACGACTATCAACGAAATACAATACATTACAATACCAAAAGTCGTTGTTAAACGAATTGGCTCGGTCTCGAGCCAATAAAAATCTACAACTACTAACACTACGATTCATACAAGTAACGTTTGGTTATACATACACATGCGAGTGTGCACAGACGTCTATGCACCATCTTTGGGCCCCACAAGTGTAAAATCTTGTTCGTTGAGCCTAGCTAGCCCAATGACCTGATCTTAAGGCCCGAAGACATTTTTTTTACGGAGTGTTGGGTTTTACCGATCCGACACAACGTAAATGGACTTTCAATGGCTTGTATACCACCGGTCCCCAAGGGTCCTTTGGTCTTGCTAGTAAGGTCTACATTTCATGCGAGGCGGGTCTGGGACCCCTCGTACATTTTATCCCCAACCGGCTAATGGAGTTACCGGGGTCTTCGTGACCTCTTTCTCTTCGGATGTGGGACTTCACCTAGTCAGGGCGATTGGATAACGCGATTAGTACTGACGACGCCTTCGGAGTCGTTAGTATAACTATAAACTGGGCGTTTGTGTAACGCGGGTTTGTAGTAAATAATCCTGCTCGAAAACCTTCCAACGTCGCCTGGGACTGACACTATACGCTATGCAATGGTTTCAATGTAACATCACGTAATTCAAGGAACTAGGAGAACATCGGGTTTTCCTAGGGTTTTCAATACTTACAAATTTGAAATGCATACATTCTAAACGAACATTTTTTTTACAAGTATAGAAACAAACAAGCATACCTATGGATCTTCACAAACGTTTTCGGAAACTTATCTTTTCAGAAAATATCGGATTTTCTGGTGGTTCTACAAACAATACAAACATTCGATTTCAAACACTACTTATGAACTCACCAACATTTCATATGTTGACGTTTTTCAAAATACTTGTATTCTCAGGGAACCAGTGAATCAAGGGAAATCACATTCAGTGACGGTTGCGGTTTATTTATGTATGAATTAAACAATTTAATTTTTGGGAATGTAATGTTAGACAATGTTTGATATGTAAACACTACTGGTTGTACTATGTTGATGAATGGTAACGAAT